CTCCTCTCCTCTCCTCTCCTCCTGCTTTAGTTAAGTTTTAGAACGAGAACTTCCTGACAAGAGATTTTATTTCTGTCAAAGGCATTGCATTTTCAAAACAGCCCAGTTGGTAAAATCCATATCTTGCTCACACTGTGCTGACCCACCTCCACACTGATCGTCCCACTACCAAGTTGTTATCGTTGTTAAGTGCTATTGAGTCAGTTCCAACTCATAGCGACCCTATATAGGGTTGGAGCGGCTGGTGAGTTTGAACTGTCGTCCTTGTAGTTCAAACCGACATTATGATGGAGTGCTTATCCTACAGTGCCAAATTAGGACTGTCCCCACCACCATAACAGTTCTGTATTTTATCTATAGATAATGATCTAGACTCTGGTTTTGTGTAAGAAATTCTGGTTCTGGACATGAGTTCTAGATGTGACTGTCAAATTGTCATATTCTGTTAGTTGCATGTTGCTATGATGCTGGAAATTAGACCACCATTATTTTAAATACCAGCAGCGTCATCCATGGTGGACATGTTTCAGCAGAACTTCCAGACTAAAGCAAACTAGGAAGAAAAGCCTGGTGAAGAACTTTAGAAAATCAACTAATAGAAATCATATGGATCACAACTGGAGATTGCCTGATACGGTACTGGAAAATGAGCGCCCTTGGTTGGAAGGCACTATACAGTGGCTGCAACAATGAACTTACACATGCCAACAATTATGAAGATGGCACAGACTAGGCAATGTCTCAATATGTTGCACTCAGGGTCATCATGAGTCAGAAATGACTTAATTAGAAACTAACAACAACAAGGTAACCTATTACGTTTAGCATTTACTCGTGTGTTTGTGGTCCTTCGGAAGTGTGTCACATTCAGTAGCTGAAGGACTCAGGTGACCATTTGTTAGAAGAGGAAGTACACATGGACTCTTGTTTGCAGGCATCCCTAAAAGAATCAAACTATCCTATCCTCTCAACAACACCAAAGGGGCTCTCTCAACACAAAGCAATGTGGATCTCTCGCTACAGTACACAGTGGTAAACTTTCTCTCACCAAGAGAAAGTTTACTCATATTCAGGAATCCTGTCAGTCTTTATTTCTCCATCTTGCATTATTTTGCAGACTGGTTAAGTGCAAGTGCAGGTTTTGGAGTGCCTGAAACATTTATGAATTTAGAGTCCCTATTCCATGGCACAATATAATAAGCACTCATGGTCACCAGCTGCTCCTCAGAAACCCTATGTTGTTGTTAAGTGCCACTGAGTGGGTTCTGACTCATAACAACCCTGTATCAGGTTTCCAAGGAGCAGCTGGTGGGTTGAACTGCTGACATACAAAGTTGCTGTGTGTTGGAACCAACTTGATGTCACCTAACGACAATAACAACAGAAACATTCCCTTTAAGAAAAAGAAAATGAAATTATAGTTACAAATTGCTGGAGTCCTTACCAGGACCTTGTGAAAAGCCCAGGCTAATTCCTCCTGTTGCCTTCACATTGATTATGATAACCATCTGGGATAGAGTAGAACTCTATCCTCATAGGGTTCCCAAGGCTGTAGTTGCTTTCTTTCTTTCTTTTTTTTAACTATTTATTCTGAATTGAGGTGAAGGTTTACAGAGTAGATCAACAGTTAAATCAATCAATCAATCAACATTAAATAAATCACACACTTTTTTTTCATTTCAAAGATTGCAATCCCCTCCGTGTAACAGCAGTCTTCTCACTTCTTCCTTGCGGTTCTTATGTCCATTCCACCTTCCTTCCCAACCCTTGTGAACTTTGTCTTTAAGTAAATGTTGCCCTTTTGATCTTGAATCGCTGAGCATCCCATGGTGTTGTTGTTGCTGTTAAGTGCCATTGAGTCAATTCTGACCCATAATGACCTTGTATAGGGTTTCCAAGGAGCATCTGGTGAGCTTGAACTGCCGATCTTGCAGTTCAAATGGCTTTGCAGTCTGGTGCATTAACCCACAGCGCTACACCAGGACCTTAATGTTGTTGTCCCCCCACCTTACATACCTATCTACTGCTTGGCCTAGGGTCATAGTCTTGGGTTTGTCTAATCTCTTTCTGACCAAGCTTTGGTCTTTTATTATTTTGAGGGAAACTTTTTATTGGGAATTGAGTGAAG